AGCTGGAAGCTGAGAACTGGCGACTTTGTAGTACAACTTTAGTACGCAGAGTATCTGGGGAGCTGGAAGATGAGAACTGGCGACTTTGTAGTGCAACTTTAGTGTGCGGAGCAATCTGGCGAGCTGGAAGCTGAGAACTGGCGACTTTGTAGTACAACTTGAGTATGCGGAGTATCTGTGGAGCTGGAAGCTGAGAACTGGCGACTTTGTAGTGCAACTCTAGTACGCGGAGCAAGCCGTGGAGCTGGAAGCTGAGAACTGGCGACTTTGTAATACAACTTTAGTACGCGGCTGAGTCATCTCTATTCTTTATTGCATGAACAACGCTTTTTCCTGCGAGACAGTTGACGGTGGCTGATTCGCTTTCACTCCATTGGTCGGTTCCAACTTGTTTTGTCAAAGAACATCGCAGCTCGGCGAATGAGCCTGCCACATGCCCATTTCCTATAGGCTTATTCTTTGGGAAACTTCCGCCGCCGGCTTGCCCGGGAACTACTTGTAAGCTTATGACTTTACAGCTCCTTGGCAAGTAAGCTCCAGGGCTTTTGAGTTCTTGTTTCGCACTTTCCATGCTTGAAGTCTGAAGACTGAGAAGACTGAGGAACACTTCCAAGTGTTTCATTTGTGACGACGTTCCCAATTGGCGCGACATGCAGGGACGCTCGTGCAGTGACCTCCAAAAGCAAGGGATTTGCTCCGGTGGGTGGCCCTCCAAGAGTCAGGACGTGGCCTTCCAGGGCGTTCGGCCCAGTGAAGTGTGTGCCTTGCGAACTTGGTGTTTTTGGTGTCCCGTTTTTCCTTCAAAACATGGAGTGGAGAAGTTGCGGACTTGTGTAAAAACATGTGTTTCAAGCTTCGTTTTGTACTTCTGACAAGTGAAATTGGGAACAGTCTTGGCTCGCAGGTTGTGCATGTGGGGGTGGTAGCGTCCACCCGACTCCAGTGCAAATGCCTTTGCAAAGTCACTTAGTCTGCAGAGGGTGCACCAGATTGCGAGTTTGGTCCTCCTTTGACTCTTTGTCCGTTCGTTCTATAATGTATATAGTTATATATAGTTTCCTTTGGGCTTTTGCGACCTCGCAGAAAGAGCACGAAGAAACACAAAATCCAAAATCAGAAAACTGAATTGGATTTCTTTGTTTCAGCGGGAAGTCCACCTGGGACCCATGTGGGCATGTGCACCTCGAGGTGAGAGAGCGGCATAAAAGGCCTCCACCCCCTAGTAGCTTCTTGTTACTAGTAGTAATGGCCTCCAACTAACAGCGTCCTTGCTATTAGGGCAAATTTAAAGGGTATATATATAAATCGATTTGATCTTCACAAGAAGGGACGATCATGGGTGGAAGACTTTGTTTCTTTCAAGGGGTGGTTCAGGCATTGAAGGTGAGGAAACCTGAGTCCAGTCGAGGCAAGGCTTTGTATTTTGGGCAATCCATCAACGAAACACCCGAGCCTATCACTGCGGAAGTACAGCAAGCAGACCCAGCTTGCTCATTTGCTTCAAGTGGCCTGGAGCTCCTGAAGGACGGCCAAGTTTCAGGGACCATCACGGTGACAAATCAGACCGTCATCAAGTGCTCCACAGTGTCACTCAGAAAAATGGCGGAATTATGCTGATGTTTGGATTAGATGGTATGGTACCAAGATTTCTCCGAAAGCTGTGGGCGGAAAGCACACATGCAGTCAAGCATGCAGCTTTTGGAAGAGAAAGCAGCTAGTTAAAGTCTAGACCACTGACCACTTAGCCCACAGAGAGTTTCTCTCAACTCAAGCCCCCATGGTTATTATACAACTTTACTTCATCCCGGCTTTCGCCACCGAACCTCTGAATCCTGTCGCCCAGTGTTCTTGCTGGCACGGAACCATTCCTGACAATTGAGATTTTAACGAGTGCGAAGAGGGGACTGGCCCTGCTTTTCCTGCTAATTTCCACGGACTAGGAACAGACAAGCAACTGTTCCTCATGTATCAAGCGAATTGTCTAGATACTGGAGAGTACAATCAAATTCTCACTGTGTCTACTGTGTCTACCCAGTTGTCTCAGGTCTGTACAAGATCCAGTGCGAGGCATCGTGACACACATCGCCTTTTCGCTACCTGTCTATGCGTTTTCCTATGGAGAGCAGGTCTCTTGGCAAACGTTTGGACGGAAAACACTGTCTCTCCCATTTCTTGGGGACACATGGGGAGATTCTCAACTTGATGTCAAAGCTCACGAAGTCTTCAACGAGTGTCTAACCGCGAGGTCGAATCGCGTCCCGGGGAAAGCGCCCTTTTCAGGCGGTGTCGCGCCGATGTGCTCAAGGGCCCTCAACGACGGAGTGACTGCACTATTCGCAAACTGACAACTCCGATTGACGTCGGCCGAAGGAAAATGACTTCAACTTCACATGATATGCATTCGCAAATCAACACGGGCAATCTTTCTTGCCCCTGAGGAAAAACATTCAAAAGCGGCCCTTCTTTACGATCGCAAGCCGAGTTCGTTGGCCTGCAACCATGCCCCATGCTGAGCTACTGGCAACTGACGAGCTCGCAGACAAGTAGCATGGTAGTCATAAGAGATTGGCGTTTGCGAAGAACGATCCGTCAGCAAACCATTCTGGTACTTCTCACGGACTTTCTCGGAGTCTTCCATGTCCAGCAGTTTTGCCCTTTCTTGTTGGAGTCTTTTGTTGACACTTCCGAGGAACATCAAATTGTCATTCCACATTCGGTGCCATTGTCGGATTTGTTCGTCTTCAAAACCGGTGGTGGTGGACACCAGAAAGATGGAAGTGAACTTCTTCCACCTTGTGCTTGTCACACTTTCTTCGCTCAGGATCGCTCTGGTGCTTCGATCCATTCCGCTCGAGCTCAACTCCAGCTCTTGACAGAACTGGCGCCATTTCCGTTGAGAGGCCTCATTCTGTACCTCCATTTTCAACCTGCTCCAGCGGGACCACTCCTCATGAGGGATTTCATCGCCTTCAGATTGCTCGCTTTCGCTTTCGAATCTTTCGTTGGGCAGCTGCAAGACATTCCTTACAACCTGCTCATTCTGTAGGGTCTGGACATTCTCAGCGGCGACATGGCTTGGATCTACAAGCGGTTCTTGCAGGAGTTTCTCTTCCAGCGGGGTTTCCTCTTCTTTCCGAAACCGTTTCACCACCATCGAAAACACTTTTCGAAGCAGCTCTTCGAATCCAAAAAGTGCAAACAGAAAAATCACCAGCATTGAGAGAATCACGCTCCAGCTATTGCTTAAATCACTTTTCACAAGCTCCTCAGCGCTGGCCTTGGGAAGGTCCTCAACCATCAACTTACTCACAGCAACGATTGCGGCCGTGCGCCATGGATCGTTAACTTTCTTCATGGATGCATGCTTGTAAAAGTGACGTCTACAGCAAAACTTGTTTTTTGGCGTCAGCCGGGTCGCACTTCTTTTCACATCCAGGTAGGAGACAAGCTCTTCCAGGTCCATCGCCAAAGTCAGCAAAGTAGCTTTGTTCTTCCTGCAGCAAGCGGGCGCAGGATTCATGCTCTAGTTGTTCTTTTTCTCGTTCTTGTTGTGTCACCTTCTTTGCTGCAATGAAGCTGGGGTCGTAGGAAAGCTTGTGAGTTCCTCGAGCCAAAGTCACAGCCATCGCATCACGAGCTGCACTTTTCGTGAGACCATCAGCCAGCTGCTGATGGGAGTTTACCCAAAACAGTTCTCCGAGGACCGCCTGAAGCCTTTGCTTGATGATGGCGATCTCGATTGCTGTTCTGCGTTCAGACAGTTTCATGCCAGCCGTGATGGAGTGAGTGGCATCGTACAGGCTCTTTGCATCTGTTGCAACCGGCGACATTGACATCTTTTGTAGGGCATCTTCACCATCTATAGCTATGTTGACGTCAGTGAAGCAGGTGAAGAAGATCTTGCACCATTCCATTTCGTCGATGGTAGCTGCCAACGCTTGGGACTCTGCAGACAAGCTTGATCGACAAATTCGAGGAAGTTTCTTGGAATGCCAATTCACCATTGTCAAAGGCATTGGCTTTCCATCATCCAGCTCGGACTGGGAGCATAGGAAGATCAGCATTCCTCCTTGACTCGACCCGTCTGGTCTTGCAGCCCAGGATGCATCGGAATAGGCTCCAATGCGCAAGGAGTCGAAGGGACCATGGTCACGGATCCTGTACTTGAACTCTCTTGAGGTTTCTTTTGCATACCTCAGCAACTTGTTCGCCTCATTGATGTCTTTGATGAAGGGACTGCTGGTGGCAGCCTGGAGAAGGCTGACTGAGGCACATAGCTGTGGTAGGCATTGATGCGCTGGCCATGCCAAGGCGCCCACGAGAGCTCGTAGTTGTCTTTGTTCTCTTTCATCACATGGATCGTTGACCATCGTCTTTCGGCTTTTTTCCAGCGTGATGGGCTTGACCTTCTGGACGTAGGAGGACAAGGAGATGTTTATCTGGCTGTAGTCCAAACTCTGGGTAACTTCTGCTCCACAGAACAACATCGTTCCAGTTTCTCCAAAGTCCCACGATCCAAACTTGAACCGATTTGACAGTCGTGACAGTCGGCTCAGAAAGAACTCACCTTCGGGGACTTCCTGACCAAGCTCCTTCTTTCCATGCACCATTTCACCGCTTCCGATGAAGTCATCCACGTGTAGGCCAAGGACACCATCTACAATCATTCGCCTTCCTTGGTGATCAAAGATGCAGAAGGGGTCGTCAGACTCACAGGCCTCGCGCAAGGAGAGATAGAGGCACTTGTCCAACGGATGGTGGATGAAGCCAAGGTCATGGATGAGCACTTTGTCAGCGGTATCATGCCATTGCTTTGGAGCCCTCACATCTCCGAAAGCAGGCTTGGTGGCTTTGAGAATTTCCCAGGGTTTGAGATCACACATTCGTTCAAGGCGTCGACGCATGTCGGCACTTGGGCTCACATAGATCCTGGTGCATTGATCGATGGAATCAGCTTGCATGAAAGCGCTTTTGACGTCCGCAGAAAACAACTTCCATCTTTTGTGCACCGTGAAGAGATAAATGCAGTGCCTTCCAGTCATCGACAAAGTGGGAGACTCAGTGTCCAGCTTTTGCTCCAGCACGTCTTTGTGTTTGAAGCCTTGGATGATGACCCTGGCATTGGCCTTCTTTCCATCCTTGACTGGCTTCCATCGTTGCAAAAATCGTGCTGGGACACACTCGCCTTCTTTTGCTTCCTCACGAGGGACTGGACGCCAAGCCTGATTGTCAAACCATACTTGAAGTGCTTGGTCTTTGGCGTCATCGAACTGCCGCTTTTCTTCTGGTGACAGCAATTTCTCATTAAATTCCTCTGCGATGGCCAGGGCTTCGTCTTCTACCTCCTGTGCATCAGCAGCATCCATTTGAGAATGGAAAGTTTTGTCGCTCCATGCCGCTGGAGGAAGGCCATCAAGAGCTCGTGCTCGATTGTATGATTCGAAGGCTTTGGCTCTTGAGTCTCTCATTGGTGGACTTCTTGATCTCTTCCGTTCTTCTTGCTTTTCTTGTGGTTTGTTTTCTGCAGCTGCCGCAGTTGTTTGTGCTGAAGCTTCTGCCGCTGCCGTTGTCGCTGTGTTTCCGCTTGGGCTGTCGTTTGTGGCTGCGGCTGTTCCTGTGGCTGCTGCTGTTTCTGCCTTTGCTGTCTCATCGTCATCGATCCTCATGTCTTGCGGCGGCTCAGTTGGTTCATACTCACCGTCTTCTGCTGCCTCATCAATTGTCTGGTGTGCGCTGCTTGCTGTTTGATCTGGGCTCAAGTCCACTGCTGTCACGGGGTCAGAATTGACTGTGTGGATGCCTTTTGCGTCAGCGAAGGAGGTACCCCCAGTGATGTCTAAAAATCGCACCGGACCCTGAACAGGATTCAAAGCAGCTTGGACTCGGGCACGAACTGAAGCACTCAAAGCAGTGTCAGGCATAGTTTGCAAGCGAACCACCTTTTCACGTTCAACTTCTGGACGAACATTGCCTGCAGCAGCACGGATCAAACTTGAACCATGGGCCAACCAATACACTGATGGCAATTGAGTTCCATCAGTACGCGGCTCAACTGCCACGATGAGTGCAGGACCACGCCATCTGGCTTCAAGCTTTTGTTCACCCTGGCGCCAATAGTAGGCGTATTCACCAAGTTGGAGGCGTTCTGGATCAGTGCGGGCTCTGGCCAAAAGAGAGCGTCGCAGAAGTTCCGAATGATTTGCTTCATAGAAAGCTTTGCCAGCAATGTATCGCAAGTGTTGGTCCTGCTGCAATGTTGAGGCATCTCGGGGTCTTTCATCAGTTGGTTCATCTAAGAGTCCTTCCCCGAATGGATTGTGGCCAAAAACAATTTGACATGGTGAAGATCCTTGCACACTGCGAAGTCGGTTCCTTTGTTGGCAGCACACGCGCACTGCATCAGCCAGTGAGATTTCAGGAATTTCCTTTTGCATCTTGAGGATTTGGAGGCGTCTCACAGCATGTAGCCTTTCTACGGCTCCCATTCTTGAATGAGCATCTTTTGGAACCAGAATCAGCTTGATGCCATACTTGTCAAAGTAGTCCAAGTACTTTTGCGACATGTGAGCTCCAGAGGAATCGGTGCGAAAGCGCTTTGGTGGTCCGAAGATTTGAATCCACTGATTCTCAAGGACTTGAAGCTCTTCTTCTTCAGTCTCTCGCTCAACGACAGCATTGATTTCGTAGCGCGAGAAGACATCGAGAATTGCAAGGACCTTTTGCTTTCCACCGTTCTCTGACCACTTCACGTGAAAAACATCGGCTTCCAAAAGCTCATTGAAATGATTGGCTTGTGGTAATGAAGCCGGATGGTCCAGTTTCTTTGGCTTGGCCTCTTGGCATATGTCGCACTTGTAAGATCGGGCACATTGAATGATGGATTCATCCATCTTGGCATCTTTGAGAGCACGCAGAAACCGTTCAGCACCTGGGTGACCGAGTTGACGATGTAGCTTTGCTACCACTTGTAGTGCTTGTTTTCCATGGCTCTTCATCAAGTTTTTGTTCTCATTTGAAATATTTCTTGTATCATCTTTCTTGCTCTCATCCAACTCCTCAGCCACCATGATTTGCGCCATCTCTCTTTGTTGCCATCGTTTCTCCATGTCAGTCACAATTGCCTGACTCGCCTTTCTCACAAAACCCAACTCATAGTTCTGCATGTTGCGAAGCTGGGAACTCTTGCCATCCATGGAGACATGTGAACCTGGTGCGCATTCACAAGCAAGATTCATGGCGTCATACAGATCTTCGCTATTTGTCCTCAGTCTGGTGGGTTTCTTGACCTTACCCATGTTGTTGCCCAGGCGGTCATAAAAATGGAGACCCGTGCGACATCGGTCACAGACAGCATCATAGGTCATACCTTCCAGCTTTTTCATAGTTTCAGTGGCCCATGAAGCTGCGCGGTGTGGGTTCTCCATGGTGCAACCAGCATTGATGGCTTCACATTGTTGAAACACTTGTTCCACGAAGCGTAGATGTGTTCTTTCTTCTTTCCTTCGAGCAGCCAGAAGCTTTTCTTTTTGCTTTCTGGTGATCATGTTGAGCTGCTGAATGAGGCTCCATTTCGAGCATGGAGGCGCTAGCCACACGAAGTGAGGTCGAACTTTTTCTAACAAGTCCAAGAAAGCTTTCACGATGACTGGGTCTTCAAAGTTCCAGTCTGGCAGTCCAAATGGGGAGACCTCAACTTCTGTGTAGTGGTTTGCCATGTAAGTGGAGAGGTTGCCGCCATCAACATAGACTTCAAAGAATTTGAGTCCTTTTGCTTTTTGCATTTTCTTGTAGATCTCATCGGACAATTTGTTGATCTCATCATGATCATTTTCCAAAAGGATCTGCTCAGGCGGCTCCAAAGCTTCAATTTCCAGCTGAGGCTCAATCTCAAAGCTCTCAAAAGACTCCAGGTTTTCAGCCGTATAGTTCACATATTCCATGTCCTGGTAGTCCATGAGATTCAGCAGATAGTGACCCTTCTTTCCACGATGAGGTTCAAACCATTCGGAGTCACCAATGCGAATCTTTCCGCTTGCAAAATCTTGTTTCACTTTCCAAGCTTCCAAGGTTGGTCTGGCCAACAGAAATGGCGTGTTGCCAGGAACCACTGAGACTGTTACTTCGAGAACCTGAGTCATCACCACTGCTGTGAAGGTCACATCATAGCAGGACATCAGTGTCTCACCTCCACCGAATCGGAAAGTTCGCTCCACATTGGTAGTCCTCATAGGGCTTGTCTCTTTTGAACCATAGCTTTCAAGCCAGGCCCTCCAAACATCTTCACCAACAATGGTCCTGGTGGCTCCAGAATCCATGATTGCAAGACCTGGGGTCAACTCGACAAAGTGGATCTCTTCTTCCAGAGTGGGCACGTCGTTGACCTCTTCTTGAACCATTGAGACCTGTTCTTCAGGGACTTCTTTCACACCACTGGATTGCAATCTGTATCGTTTGAACCGAGGTCCATGCGATGATGTTGATCCTGTAAGGGTGGATTTGTACTCCATGGAGCTGTTGGAGTTGTGAGGACTGTTGAAGGGCTTTCTCAAGCCGGAATTTGGTCTCCGGTTGAATGGAGATCTTCGAAGTCCTCCATACTTGCCTTTTCCTTTGCCCTTCTGTTGTTTGCCCTTTCCTTTTCCACCTTTTCCTTTTCCATCATTCTTTCCTCCTCCTTTGAACCCAGTGAACTCGGGTCCGATGGCCATGACCGGGTAAAACCCGCGAGCCAATGCCAGCTCCTTCATTCGCTTTCTGCTGTCCATGTAGTTCACGAAAGCGTCTTCCACTTCATCAGCTAGGGACTCCAATTCATCAGGAATCTCTTCATCATCTTCAGGCCATTCTTCTTCATAGTAGGCCTCGTTAGCCCACCATTCAGGCTCCTCCAAGTCCTCAAAGAACTCTTCCTCAAACTCATCCTCATAGAAGGTGTCATCCTTGGAGGATCGGCTGTAGTAGTTCAAGTCTTTTCCATTGGGCTTGTGGTCTCCTCCAAAGATACGCATCAAGGCGTCTTTCACTTTCTTGTAGTCCAGGTCACCACCACACATAGATTTCACCTGGACGTGCGTCCACCTTGGCACTCCTGCTCGGGTCAGAAGATGCCATCCTGCCAAAAGAGGCGGGATTGTGATCTTGACTTCAGCCATCTTCTTCATCATGGATTGGTGGCGCACTAAATAGGCTTGTAGCTCTTCTTGTTTGTGCCGTTGGAACTCCTCAAAGAACTCAGAGCATCTGCTTGGGATTTCGATCATCTCTTCATATTGGAACAGCTGGTCCAGCAACCTCACCAAGGGGTCGAAAGGTCGTTCGGCACTTTGGATGTCAGAATAGTCCAGCTGTTCGCATGCTTCCCATGCTGAATCTTTCAAAAGACTCACCACCAACAATGCACCCTCTATTTCTGCATCTTTGGACCTCCGCCTGCACTGCAAGGAAAAAAGTTCCAGCCTTCGACGGAAACTCCTATAGTTCTTTTGGCTCAAACCGTCTGCCGAGGGAGCAGCCTTCGCCAAACCGGAATCCAATCCTCGGTAGGCGGGTTCCGAAGGTCGTCCTCCACCATTTGCAATAGATCTCTGGGGCGATGTAGGTGGTCGTACTTCATCTTCTTCATCAGGCTCCGTTCTTCTTCTATGTTGTCCTTTTCCGGACATCACTCGCCGTACACGATGACAGAGAAGTCTGTATTCTTAACTTCAAGGGGGACCCTGTAGGAATCTTCAAGCAAAAAGTGCACCCTCGATGAACTCAGAAAAGATCGTGTCCGGCTCCGCTACCAATCTCAACTTGATGTCAAAGCTCACGAAGTCTTCAACGAGTGTCTAACCGCGAGGTCGAATCGCGTCCCGGGGAAAGCGCCCTTTTCAGGCGGTGTCGCGCCGATGTGCTCAAGGGCCCTCAACGACGGAGTGACTGCACTATTCGCAAACTGACAACTCCGATTGACGTCGGCCGAAGGAAAATGACTTCAACTTCACATGATATGCATTCGCAAATCAACAGAGATGATATGCAGAACGGGTGCCTGAATTGTGAAGCTGGTTGAAATTGTTGCAGATCGTTTCTGCATGCTTTGCCCAGGTTCAAGAATATTTGTGGACCTGCCAGCAAACTGGGTATTTCCAGGTACACTCTTTTGCTGGTGGTTGAAATGAACAAGGAGTAGTCCTGACTTGACTTTGCAAGCTTCTGGGGTATGGCACAAGCCCTGTGCCGGCTCCACAATCTCCTCACCTCCAAATGTAAGCCTGAAGACCTGCAGAAAAACTCTGCTGCTGAGCTTCATTCTTTGCATTTTCTGCTTCGTGCATTCTGAGGTGGTCTACTTCAAATTCTGGGGCTTGGACCAGAGCCCAACCCAGCGCATCGTAGCACCTCAGTCGGTCCATCCACGGGCCTTGACGAAGTTTCAACTGCAGTGTGATCCCAAATGCCAGTGGCTTTCTATCACTCTGTCAGGAGTCTTTGGCGAACGGTGGGGATGGTGGCAGGTAGCATTGTGCATGATGAGCAGAGTTCCCACTTGGTCCCGGGATCGAAATGGTCATCCAGTCAGCTCTTTTGAAACGCACTTGTTGAACAAGTATCCATGGCCTGCCAGCTACGCCATTCTTCCAGTTATCCTATGCGTTTCCTTTGTTCATGGGGAGCAAAGATATCATGGTGGATGATTGTCTCATAGCTCTCAAAAGCGAGCTCCTTTGCTTTGATCCTTGAATCGCCAGGCGAACTCCACTGGAATCCCATCCCCAGTGGCACAAAGTCCTCGCTGCCAGAAGACCTCAGTGCAGCTGTCACGACCCTGGCAGGGATGCCCTCCTGTAGCTGCCAAGTGGCGGCATCGTTGAATGCCAAACCTGTCTCCAGCCACTGAGCGAATCAAGAGCCGGATTCTGTTTAGGTGACAGATGTTGATCCCTGTCATCTCTTCCTCATTTCCGGGCAAGCACGTGCTGTATATTTGACCCTCCATGAAGGCCACGTTCATGGGGGAGGTATATGGAGCTCTTTACACAGATGGAGGAGATGCTAAAGCATCCTGCAAAAAGAAGGGAGTGTCTGCAAACCTCAGGTTTCATACCTGGCAAGTCGGCGGGCAAGCCAAGTAGACAATTAGACAAGCCATTTGCACACCAGGACAATCCATGAGCAACTATAATTAGTTGGTTGATGTTGGTTGGAATGCTCATGTTCCCTTCCATTGAGCAACCATCATGCAGCCAGTGTATTTGATTGAAAGGCACGACATGGACTCATTAAAGCTTTAACTTTAACGCTTAAAGTTGCTAGTAGGTTGGAGGCCATCGCTACTAGGGTGGAGGCCATCGCTACTAGGGTGGAGGCCATCGCTACTGGGGTGGAGGCCATCGCTACTAGCGTGGAGGCCATCGCTAGTATAGGGTGGAGGTTATCGCTACTAGGCTGGAGGCCATCGCTAGTAGGGTGGAGGCCATCGCTAGTAGGGTGGAGGCCATCGCTACTAGGCTGGAGGCCATCGCTAGTAGGGTGGAGGCCATCGCTACTAGAGTGGAGGCCATCGCTACTAGGCTGGAGGCCATCGCTCGTAGGGTGGAGGCCATCGCTACTAGAGTGTGGAGGCCATCGCTACTAGGCTGGAGGCCATCGCTCGTAGGGTGGAGGCCATCGCTACTAGGGTGGAGGCCATCGCTACTAGAGTGGAGGCCATCGCTACTAGGGTGGAGGCCATCGCTACTAGAGTGGAGGCCATCGCTAGTAGGGTGGAGGCCATCGCTACTAGGGTGGAGGCCATCGCTAGTAGGGTGGAGGCCATCGCTACTAGGGTGGAGGCCTTCGCTAGTAGGGCGGAGGCCATCGCTACTAGAGTGGAGGCCATCGCTACTAGGCTGGAGGCCATCGCTACTAGGGTGGAGGCCATCGCTACTAGGGTGGAGGCCATCGCTAGTAGGGTGGAGGCCATCGCTACTAGGGTGGAGGCCATCGCTAGTAGGGTGATTTTCAGACCGAAAGTCTTCAGTGCGCATCCTAGGCCGATTCCTGGCAGTTCAGGCTCGCCTTTGGAACGCCGCGGCCTATGAAATGCCCAGGATCCTTGCGCGTGTCTCCGCGGCCATCCCGGAGGTGCAGCTGCTGGAAGACTTGGGCGCCTCTCTTTGCACTTTTGGGAAAATGAGGAGGACGAGAGTGTGAGAGGGGTGTGACTGGTTCACTTGAGACTTGAGGGGACACCTCGATCAACGTGTCACCACGTGAGGATGTTCTTTGTACCTCTGCACACGTATGGACAACCTGATTCTGGATCACGTTCTTCAAGACTTCGGGGATCTTCGGGGTGCTCACAGAGCAATTGGATTTGATGGCTCCGATGTCCATTGTTTTGCCCCGTTCGAGATGTGTTGCACTCCAATAAGATAAATAAGAACAACATAAGTCACGAAAGGTAGCCCTTTAGGGGATACCTTGAGTTTGACTTGCGAAGCAAGTGTCGGCGAGTCCGGGTCTAATAATTGATCATTCAATTCAACCCCCCCCCTCTATTGATTTTTCAATACAGACCCCCCCCCTCACCCCCCTTGGAATTGATTTTTCAATACAGACCCCCCCCCCTCTAAATTCAATTCTCCGCTGGAGAACGTCTTCGTGAGCCTCTCATGATTTCAGGATAGTTGAAACCCTCTTGAACATTCAGAAAGAGTGCATATGAAATTCGAATTACGAAATGTGTTCTCGTTAAAATACCATTCTCTCCTGGAGACCGTCTTCGTAAGCGTCTCAGTGTTCCCCGAAAGGATCGCAAGGTGTTACATACCTAGAGTTTATTTTCTTCTCTCCTGGGGCCTCTTAATCACGAAAGGTAGCCCTTTAGGGGATACCTTGAGTTTGTCTTGCGAAGCAAGTGTTGGGACGCCCGGGTCTAATAATTTATCATTCAATTCAAACCCCCCCCC